AAGGTTTTCATGTCGATATTGTATCACAGAAAGAATACTCCAATTCACTGTAATCTTGAGACATCGAGAAGCCTTGATTCTCTAGAAACGTCACAGCATGAATTACTTCTCCGTTGATGAATACCATCGTGAAATTTTCAAGGAGAAATCGAGTAGAACATGACATTCAATGAAGAAAATTTCAACGTAAATGGTTAAAATTATTCAGATATAGGAGTCCATTTTCGACGATTTCTATCAACTCTCATGTGAAGATTATCCAATGAATGCCTTATAAATCAGACACACTAAAACTGTTTGACATGGGAGTTTTATAAGTAGTAGAGGTAGCGCTAAGCTATTGAACGAGTGGTCTAAGGCCATGAGATTTATTTTCTATGTTGAAATATCTTCGTTTGAAAAAAAAAATCTTTGCAGACATTCTAGCTTCTCTCTATGAAGACTAATCAAGTTTTGATTAGCCCTTGCAATCATGATTCAATATAATCTATTTGTAATCAAACTATGAGCCCAGAGAATTAAAGTTGAGGTACTTTTTAACCTGATAGCAGGACTTTTTGTGACTACTATTATATTTACTTTGTGAGTGGTATATTTGAATCATTGGAATTTTCATAAGTGAATGATAAAGGTGAACGTCCAGATGGTAGAAGAGATTCTGTTGATAATGTTTGATCAGTTGGTGAAAGAGGCACGAGATTCGGTAGATCGATTTTCTGTTGATTTTTTCTATTAGATATTTTTGTCAATCGTCGTTTGCCTAAAAATAAATCCTCAATTAAATAAAAAAGAAAACAAATTTATTTATTTATTTTAGTACATACGCATATAAGGATCAGTTCGACGTCGTCTTCTTGTAGATTTTTTTGTTTTTTGTGGAATTAATGATGAGTCATTATTATTTACTGTTGATGAAATTTTATTTCTTGTTTGAATTACTGGTTGTGATATTAATGTCGATTGTAACACTATATTACAAATAATAATTTCAAATATAATTTATTTTAATTTAGGCAAAAAAAATAAAATATTTGTTTACATTGTGATGAATTGTTTTCTGACAGAGAAATGTTATTTATTGGTTCTGCGCGTCGACGTTTAGCCGCAGGCAATGTTAAAGTATTTTGTCGTGTATTATCAACTGAAGGTTGACTACTACGGATAGCACAATTAAATGAATGTGCTCGACGACGAAGACCACTTGCTAATGGATCTAAGAAAAAAAAATAATAATAGAAATTTTATTAATAATAAATAATATGAAATTTTTCTCGATCATTTTACCCAAATTAAGACAGAAAAGTTTCAATTGTTTTGTTACATCAGAATGTTGATCTAATTTATCTTGTTTTACATCTATAGAATTACAAAAATTAATTGATTAAAAATATTAATATATGATATAAATTTACTTATGTCTTTTCTATTTTTAGATGTTAATAAATCATCTTTCTGTTCATTTAAATTATCGACTGATACAGCTCGTTTTCGTTTAGTTAATTGACATGTCATTGATGTGACTATTTAAGAAAATAGAAAATATAGTAAAATATTTATCTTGTATGTTTTTTTTTGTTTTGAACCTGATGAATTCGTTAGAATAGAAGATGAAGCTGTATTTGTCATACATCGACTATAAACAAGTATATAAGCATCCGATGTTTTGACAGATTCAAATGTTGTCTGTTCAATAATATGATCATCACAACGAAGCCATTCACCTATTTTTTTTTAATATGTTAATAATTTTTCAAATAAGATATAAAGTTTTTTTTTCTTTTACCAAGAACATCATTATAAACAAAAGCAACAAAATGTCCCGTATTGATACTTTTACCATAATGTACAATAACACCACGTAAACGATATAAACATTCATTCGTTGAAGTACCATTTTGTTTAGAACATGTTGATGATAAAGAACTAAGTGTTGATTGTATACAATATGGTGCCATATCAAGATATTCATCGAAGTTAACATGTAAAGTTATTTTATGTGATAATTGACGTGCTTGACGAGATGTCGGTCGTCGTAATGGTGTTTGTGGTAATGAACGGAATCGACGTAAGACAACATGTAATACTTGTGGAAGTTTCGATATTAGTAAACGTTTTTGTGCTTTTGTACCTTCTTTTGATGGACTTCGAACTAAATTATTAAAAATAAGAAAAAAGTCTTTGAAAAGAACAAAAAATAAATTAAATTTTAAAATTTTTACCAGTACAATTTGAACAATGAAATGGTGTTGACAAAGCTTCCCATTGATAAAAATGAGCGAGCATTTCTAAATTAATTATTCGATTAATTGAATTCATATAAATTTTAATAAACCTGTAAGATGGCATGAACGCCGACGACTAGATCCCCTTACATCACAAAGCATCTTCTCTGAGAATGTTAATGTGATAAATGTTTCATCTGTTTTTGTGACTGATAAACGATAACATTGTTCACATAATATCTAATTTCAAAAAGAAGTTATATAAATTTCTTTTTCTTTGTTTTTTTAAATTTAATTCTACCTGACTTTCCGAAGAGAAACCTAATAGATCATTAATTATATTTGTATCCGCTAAATTGTTCGCTTTTATTTCATCTGTCACAGCAGATAATAGTGCTCTATAGAATACATTGATATATATTATTTAAAAAAAATTATTTTATATAATTTTACTCAAGAAATTCTTGTGCATCTTCCATTGCACATGGCTCAAAAGTAGGTAATAAACGTCGAACAGCAGCGATCATATTTAATGGTGAATAAACCATACATTTACCCGACCAAATTATATTGAATGTTCCATGTAATTCATATGCAAGATAACTTCACAAACAATATATATATATATATATGAATATTCATCAAATGAATAAATCTATTATTACCATGGTACGCGACGTGGCTGAGCTTCAAGTGCTTTGAGTAAACCACGACCACCACCTTTTAAACGTGTTGGATTATGCGATGAAGCAACCTGGCAAAATTTGTTTTTTTGTTTTTTTTTTGTTTAATTACAATTCGAAAACTTTTCGTATTTCTATTAAAAATTAATATATAAAATACATACCATTGGCACATCAGATGGTTGTTCTAAACCAAGACTTTCAAAACTCATAGAACAAATTGCATCACAAAATTGTGGTACATGACTAAAAAAAAATATCAAGTTTTACCTTTAAACTAAACTAGTCTTTTTTTTGTTCAAACCTAAGTAATTGAAGTACACAATTAACATAACATGTATTACCCAAATTATATAATCCAGTATGACCAGCATAATAAAGTTTCGATTGAACAGCTTTTAAACTAGAAAAAAAACAACAAGACAGAAAAAATTTGAATTTAATTTTTATACAAGTTTTTTGTTTTTGTTTCATACGATAAAAATGATGATTGATTATCTGTTGAATTTTTAATTGTTGTTGTAGATGATTGTTGTTGTTGTTGTTGATCATTATTATTATTATCTTTGAGAATAATAACAGTAGTATTATGTGTAGGTGAATTTAATGATGGATTTGGTGATGAACATTGAATTAACGATGTTACAGGTTTAACGGGACTTCGAAGAACAATTTTTGGTTCGGCCATCGATCAATCGGGGATCGAAGAATTAAAAAATATATATGAATATATTCGATATAATGCTAAAAGAAAAATGTATTTCGTTATTTTTTTTTTTTTTTTCAAAAGAAATTTATTCTGTATGTAAATCTTAGTAAGTCTGGTTTCTTTTTTTCTTCTTCTCTTAATCTCGCATTATTAACAACATTGAATGAGTCAGCAGAAATAAATCAGCTGATTGAATTCTTTGTGCGTAATGGAAGTATATGAATGACGACTATGGATGAAAATTAGTTTATTTACTGAAACATACGTTGTTATGATGGATTCATAGGTGAACTGAACATTGGTTTATTTTTACTTTCTTAATAAGACGGACAGCATTGTTATGCTACGTTCGATTGTCCGTCCGTCACTATGCACTCACGGAAACATTTCGGCCTTGTCAACATATAGTGATCCGTTGAATAAACAAAACAGACGAAGATATACAAAAACCTTTATTTAATTGTTAATTTATTATATGTAGAAGATAAAATACCATGGAAGAATAAGATCATTTGGCAAAAAAAAGGAAGAAAAATAACAATAGTAATAACAAAAAGAAAGGTCTGAAATAATCCTGATAGTAAAGGCAAAGAATTGTTTATTATGGTAGAATGAGTAAATCTTATTGGTTGATATAAACCAATTGAATTTTTTGAATACTAATGATTCATATTAATCGAACCATATTTCTTTCTTTATCCTATAGTAGAAACAAAAAATGATTGATTAAAATTTAAATAAGTCGGGTACTGTACTTCGTGCAGTCACTCGACTTAATACGTTTTTCTTCCTTTTTTATTGCTTATCGGAGCGGGTTTGTTTACTTTGGTAACATTGAAAAAAGAAAAGAAAAAGAAAATATTATTCTTGAAGGAAAAGAAGAAAAAAGAGAACCGGTTGATGTAAAAAGAAAAAAAGTTCATTTCTTTCTTTTTTTATTCTCTCTCCATTTCTTTAGACATAAATCCATTGTTTTTCTTTTTTTATGTCAATAGACGAGGCTATTCATTATTAGTTCTATTTGTTCAAGATAACGTGAGATTGTCCTCTATTGACAAACTCGGTTAGCCTTTGTTCAATAGTCGAATATGAATGTGGCTACTAGTTACTCTATAGAGAGAGGTCGTGCCATTAGCCCCGTTTTTTTTTTGTCGTTGATGATTTCTTCTTGAACGGTCGCTTGTCAAATAAAATACATACCATACTTACTTTATCGCCGTATTGACTTTTGACGGAAGAAAACGAAAGGTAGTGGAATGGACGTTCTATGTATGACCTCTTGCAATCAACGTGTCCTGTTGTTTCTTTTTGTTTTGATAGTCGCAAATTCAATATTTTATTCATCTAGTTTATAGATTTGAAAATTTGTATTAAAACATACCAAGCATGGGCAGTTGCACATCAGCAATCGGTTGTCAATATGAGTATATTAGATCAATACCTTTTGCACTCAAACTCATTGAATTCGTAAATATATTTATAATATAAAATTTTTAAAAAAGTATAATATTTATTGTAATATTCAGGTTTGTGATCTACTTGCAGTAAGTTTGTGTGGTGCTGGACCGACTCTTGATGAGGGTAACGGACGTCGAGGCTTTTTTTTATTTGTTTCCATACTGGCACTTATTATAACAGTAGTACTATTGATTCTATGTCTAATAATAAATCTAAAAGCCATATTTAATTTGCACTTTTGGTTAAAACTGGTAAGTTATTGAAACAATTATTGAAAATTTTTCGAAATGATTTAATTTAGGAGTTTGGTTGGTGTGCATTTATTGCTTTATTTTATTTTATTGCAAGTATCGTTATTGCAACAGCTGGAAAAGCGAGTGGTCTTTATGGCGCTGCAGCGGTAAATAATTAATTGAACGAAAATAATAAGAAAAAAAAAAAAACTAATGTTTCTGGTTTTTGTTTTTGTAGTTCTTTGGCTTTGCTGCTTTTATCACTTATGTAGCCGATGCAGTTCATAAGTTTATTCAATTTCGAAAAGCTCCACTTGAAGAGCGATATGTACCAAATCCACCGTCGGGAAACCCTTAATAACCAATTGATTAAGAAAAAACTAGATGAGTTTCAATTTTTGCTGATGGTGAAAGTATTTTAGATAATTTATTCTCGAAATGATTTCGAAAACTGATAACCAACTCTTTTTTCTCTCATAAACAAGAGAATTATTTCATTGTAGACTTATTCTTTTCCTCACATTCCCTTGAATCTCTTCTCATTTTAGTCTCATACAAATGAATGCATTTTTATTTAAAGTTTTTTCTTTTTTGATGGTGATGATAAATCAGAATGATCTGAATTATGTAGTATAAACACGTCCATGCATAAATATGACCTGTTATTTATCAATAATTCTTTTTTGTATTTTGTTTTTCAATTATCATATTTCCTTGCTTTTTATTGCTCACTTTTTTGTGGCTTTTTTTGCGTCCATTTACACAGTGAAAAATAAAATTAAAAAATTCAAATAAAAATTAAAAAAAAAACAACAAAAAATGAGAAACTTTTCTGGTTCAACATTCTTTTGACTCCGGTTAATTTATTTGGTTGGAAATCTGCCAAACACTAAGAAAAAATAATAAATTATTAGTAATGAAAGTTGTTTTGAAAAGAAATCAATATTTTATTGACTTGAATATTCATATATTGTTCTATCGACGAAAAACAAGTAATGATAACATTTTAGCTAGAGTACCAGAAATTAATCAGTATCATGGATGTCATGTGACCAATATGCAACATCGTTATATGTTACTTGACTCGTGACAATATCCATCACGTGTGCACGTGTGAAATAAATTTATTGACCTATGTCTGTAGAAATTCCATTGGTCTAATGACTTATTATGATTATTGCGCTACATTTGATACAGCAAAAATTCCAAGATTTAGGAAGACAACATAGACGACCGATGAAAAAAAAACGAGAATAGTCTTGTCTCAGTAATTTCATTTTGTTTATATACATATTTAGAAATTTTTTTTCAATCATTCTTTTTCCAATATTTTAAATAAACTACTTGATGATATACGATAGAGTGCTTATGAAAATAACATTTTCTTAATGAAACTGATTTTCAATATTATTATTTTATTAATTTTTTTTTAGTTGAACTATAGTCAAAATAATGAAAATAAGTGTTTTTGAGACCGAAACGAGCTCAAAATATTGTTTTCTCAACTTTTCTGATTGATTTATCAGACACCTAGATAGATAAGATTTCCTTCATGTATTATTCGATTTATTTTTACATTTATCAACACAAGCATCGTCAAATTGTTTATGTCTGATGGAAGAAGACATAGCAATAGAATACACGTGAATGCAATTTTTTTTCTCGACATTTACAATCTTTTTTCTTATATATAAGTCAAAGATTGATTATCGTTTCACCTTGAACTACAAATTGAATTGCTAAAATTAGACCAAATTTACTTCATTTTTTATATAATTCTTAAGTATATCTTTATACGTACTATATCTAGATTATCAAAAGAGAAAGAATCTTTTTTTTTTCTCGAGGGCGTCAAAGTCATATAGTAACTGGTGTCTATAGCTTTTGGTACTTCTTTTTGTCAGACCTTCTATTTATATGATGACGCATGTTATACGCCAACTCGCAAGCTGATGAAACGATGGGAAAATCGCATTATGTCGAGATATACATAATTTTCTCATTCAGTTTATTGCATTGACACAATACCAACAACATCTCATCTTCAGTTTCATCTTTACTATAACATATAAACGTCGAGTATTTTTCAAGCACAAGATCGCAAATATACAATTGTGCAGTAGATTACATTGTGCAATCAATCATTCTTATTCATTTTTGATTATAAAACATTTCAAATTTGTTTATTACAAGGTACAAGATGACAAAAAATAAATTGATTCGTTTTTTCGGACATAAAAAGATTAGTTATGATAATATAATTTTTTTTTCTCTGTTTATTACTCAATATAATTATTGTTAAGAGAAAATTTTGACCTTGTCTAATATTGTCTGATTCTGGTAAAAGAAATACATCAAAGATTCCGGAAAACATCTGAGATAGGAGAAAAAGGGAAGCAAGAAAATTAATTATAGGCTGTCAGTTCTATTCATATTTTTCTTTTACAGATGGCCAGTACATCTCAAATACGTTTCTCATTAATTAACTCACTTGGTTCACTTGAATTTGGAAAATCATTTTTAAATCAACCTCGTGGTATTGCTTATCGTCCATCAGATTCTTTATTATTTATTGCCGATTCAAAAAATGAACGTGTGGTTGCTTTTACAGAAGATAATAAATTGGCTAAAATTATAAGTCATTATGGAACCAAAAATGGTATAGCTGTTATGAGTAATGATCAAGTACTAATGAGTGATGAATTGCAAGTATTAGTATTAAGTAGTGATCTACGGTTAACACGTACTATTGCTTGTGATGATATTCAAGCTGGTTTAACAAATTATCAAGGTATTTGTGTTGATGAGCATGATTCAATTTATGTATGTGATCAAGCTAATCGACAAGTAAAAGTTTATGATCCAAAAAGTGGAAATATTATAAGATTTTTCGGAGACAAAAATTTATTTAGTTCACTGGCATATTGTACAGCGACAAATGGACATATTTATATTACAGATCCGCAAGGTTTAGTAAATTGATGAAATATTTTTATTTTTATTTTAAGAAACATTTAGGTTCATGTGTTCATAAATTTACACTTGATGGGATATATGTAAGACGTTTCGGCAGTGAAACATCATCCGTTTTTCCTGAACCACTTTCAAGTCCTCGTGGTGTAACTGCATTTCCTGATACACATCATTTACTTATTGCTGATTCTCATAATGATCGTTTGGTACTTTTTCATGAAAATGGTGAATTTCAACAATTAGTAACAAGTGGTATAGAATATCCAGAATCATTAGCAGTGAATAAAAAAGGCGATGTATTTGTTGCTATGACTGATCGTATTGGTGTATTTTCTCGTCAAAACTAATATGAAAAATTTTATATGAAACTTATTTTTGTTCTAATTTTTATCGATTAATGTGTGCATCATTTACGTATAAATCCTTCTTTTTTTACGCCGGCAATTGAATTTGAAAGAGAAAAAAAAGAAATGATTCATTATTTTTTATTTGATTAAGACTGTGCTATCCTCATAAATCGATCTTGGGTTGAGTACATTGAAATTACATTAAATTTTCAGGATATGTTACAGCTATAGTAGAGAGACTATTTTGAAATTTTCAGTCAGACTTAGTGACGTTTTCGGAAGATATTCAACAAACAAGAGTCAAATGTAGGTCATTTGACAACCTAGAATTCTGTGAGGTTTCATTCTATATTTGTGATGTTGTTTTTTTTTTATTTGAAAGAGCATGTCAGACTTCAGTATCGAACAGTTGTTTTTTTCTTTTTTTAAATTTCTAGTTTTTATGCGGAGAAAATGGATGACAAATTCAATTAGAGCTATGCATCGGAAACTTTAAAAGAAATTTCTTCAAAGTCGGAGCAATCGTGAAAAATGTTTTTTCGGAGTCAATGTCGGAGTTACATCAGTAAAATAGTCAAGCATTTTCTTTTACTCTTACATAGTGATAGGTTTATTCTTCATATGTCAAGTAATAAACAAAAATACATTACTTTATAGATTCATAAATAAATTGCAAGAAAGAAAACATCAGAGAGAGAGATTCTAATTAATAAATAGCATTGAAAGGAGTATAGATGTTAGCCAAAAATTTTGACTTCATACCGCTGAAAGCTCAAAATCTTGGAAAATGGTCATCTATTTATAGACGTGCTATCTTGTATATGAATAAAAATGCTTAATTAAAAAAATCTGGCTCTGCAGCTTCACATGATATTTAACATCTCTCCCTAAAAGGCTGGTTTCGCCCCAGATATATAATAATCTTCTGAAATAAAGAGAACATGTTGCGGTTTTAGCGGAAAAGCTATGGTAACATTTTAAGCTCCATATCATGACTTTTGGCAAAGATATTCAATAAACAAAGATCAAAAATAGCTTATTTGGCAAATCAAATTTCTCTGCTCAGGCTCACTCTACATGCTTAATTTTTTTTAATGTTTGAAACAGCATGCCAGGATGCAATGCAGTACAGAATCTTTTTTTAATACTTATTTTTTCAAACGGAGTAAAGCTATGACAAATTCAATAACTCAAAAAGCTCTCTAAAAATGGATATCTATTTCTATAGGGATTTGTATATATAATAAGAACAAAGTTTAATTTAAAAAGGGACTCTGTACTGTAGTGCACCATAACATGCTCTTTTCAAACAAACAAAAAAATACATGTATAGAATGAGAGTCAACAGAGAAAAAAATAAAAAAAATTGTCCCACTTTTTCTACAAATAGGTTGTTTTTCAAGCAGGTAACAAAACAAATCATGGAATATTTTGGCAATAAAAAGAGATGTCGAATAAAAAATCATGTCATTTATAAAAGATTATGCTTTGAACTATCTTTTCATGGATTTATCTCAATTTTCACTTTTTTGACGATGATTGAATTTTTTTGAGAGGGAGAGGTCTTAAAATAAAAAGATAAACAATTGGTTGCAATGAAGCTCCATGCAGAATTCTACGATGCACGAGCAGTAGAGTATAAACAAAGAAAAAACGAAAAAGATGTTTCGTTTTTTTGTCAGAAACAAGCATATTATTCAAGCAGAAGATGACGGCATTGCTGAAAATTTCCGGAAAAAACGACATATCAAATAAATAAATCATATTTTTTTTGAAAGATGGGACATCAATCTATATTGACATACATCTATCTTAATTTGAATAATTCTGATTGAAAAGGGCTTTTTATTATGGAAGGTTAATAACCAGCCTACCTTTTATATGAATTTTTAGATAGAAAATAATTGTTTATTTCAAGGAAAAAATAATTCCAAAGAATGATTTGCTACAGAATCAATTTTCATCAATTCAATAAACGAACAATTGATATTCATATTATAATTCATCTAAATTATTGAACAATACATTTGAATAGTTG